GCTTGAACTTCTTCCTTCATCACCATAGGCTCTTCCTCATATGTTATTTCTTTAAATTCCTCTGTATCTGCCAATTCCTTTCTATATAGTGACTCAGTATATTCCTTCCATCTACTTTTAATATTTCCTGGATCATTTAATATTCTACCCAAAGCATCCTTGATTACAGCAACTCTAGGTTTGAAAATAAATAGGGCGGGAAAGGAAAAGAAGAAAGGAAAAGGAAAAAATATGAGAACTTGGGATGGCCAACAAATACATAAAGAAATGTTCAAAATCATTGATTATCAGAGATGGAAATCAAAGCAAGCAAGAGATACCTTCTTACCTCCGTAATAGGAGCAAAGTTTAACAGATAACAGCAATAAATATGGGAGAGGATGCAGAAAGATTGAAACTCTCAAGGATTTACAAAATATCTTCAGTAATGATAGGAAAATTATATATATATATATGAATGCCAGGATGCCAGGGCTTTGGTGGTTTTTTTGGGTTGGTTGGTTGGTTGGTTGGTTGGTTGGTTGGTTGGTTTATTTTTGAGAATGCCAGTTTTAAAGTTTTCATAAAAACAAGTGAAAATTTCTGATGAAAATCCCTTTAGGATTATATATATGGTTAGTGTCCAAAATAGGCAAGTTTTATCTCTGATAGGTAGATATATAGTGTAGCTTGGAAAGTTAGATTTCAGCTGAATTAGAATATGGGTCATGAGAATTCTTTTAAGCCAGTCTCTTATCTGTAGCTGAAAAGCTGTCATTGTTTAATCAATTATACTCTAAATTATAAAAACAGAAGAGAAGAAAATCCTATTTCTTGGTGTCTCCAAGAATAAAAAGGGTTTATTCATTCTCGATCCAATCCTAGCACATACGCTGTGTTTTCTGAGTTGCTGCACGCCAAAATTGTGAGCATTTGAAATGTAAATACAACCCTTGGTAACTTTAAACCTTCCAAGGCTAAGATCTTGTTTGTTCATTTTCTTTAACTCCAGCAGGGATCTCTCCTCTTGCTGCAGCCCAGGGCAAAGGAGTGGGATGCTCCATAGAAATGCCTTTCGAAGGACACCTCCCTCCCCTCGAAGTCGGTTGGGTGGTATTGTGGGACCAGCATATCAGCAACTTGAAGAATCAAGGATTCCAGACCAGGATATAATACCTTGTCAAGGGTAGGTTATAAAGGCAATGGAATTTATAGAAATTATCATTGATTTCATATCTTTACATTGAATTATAATGTTTCTTTGAGTTTTATTCCAAAGTTTCTTCATAATTTGGTTATTTATGCTCACTTACATCTTTGTCAATTAAATTAAAAGAATATGGATGATATATAATTTTCCAATAAAATCTGACTTCTGGATACCTAGTGGGCAAGGAATGTGGTTCAAATCTACCAATAACTCTGAAGAAGAAAGATGGTCAATCTCCTTCATGTGATTTATAGCCTCTGAAAACCTTATAGAGGGTCTGCTATGAGTCTGTTTCAACTTCACAGTGCACAACAACAACTACCACCAACTAAATGATTAAGAATTAATGAGATGTAAACTTAAAAAGAAGTAAAAGACTAGAGAGAAAGTGTGTGTGTGTGTATATATATATATATACTATTATACAATTACAAAAGTAACGAGTAGATTTCCTTCTTTTTTAAAAATTATAGAAGTAAAATGGTCCCTTCTTATGTTTGACACAAATAAGTTGATATTTTCAACAGCATTGAGTATAATATTATACATAATTGGCCACCCACTTCTGAAATAGCAGGCCTCTGAAAACCCTATGCACAACAAAACACACGCAGATTAACAGAAAGGGCAACCTAGGTAGAACTATCAAGTATGGAAATACAAAGGAGGAGGAACAGTTGTAAGCAGACCCTAGAGATTGG